GCATACTTATACATATATCACTAATATACTTATCAGTACTCATATCATTATTACTAATTTCTTTCTATCATGTAAGCATATATTGAACCTTTCTATACTCACCGTCGAGTATCCATGTCATTTCACAACAAAGCATATATATAGTATCATAACAAGTTATTTATTATCTTTAAAGCCCTTGCATTAGCCCATGTATACATTTGAGAACTTAAGGTATGTGAGTACATTGAGGTTGTGCACTAATGCTGTCACCACAGCTCGTATCAATTCCCTCATGGGGCACCGAACCTCCGAAGGACCAGTCCATAGATCCCGAAGAACCTAGGTAAACAATCCATATGTCCCGAAGAACATAGGTAAACAGTTCATATGTCCCGAAGAACATAGGTAAACAGTCCATATGTCTCAAAAAACATAGGTAAACCCTCGACCCTTGGCATGCCAACTATACCACTAGCTCTCTTATCACATAACATGGGCATTAACATTCATAACAGTTCAATTTACTTATTCATATCCTTTCTCTTATGAACATATATCTTTTCTTTTCAGTCACGTACCAAATGTACGTGTAATCATTGATCTTATAATCACATGTTCATTCTCTTCGGTCACATACTATATGTATGTGTAAACATATATCTAATATCATATAACACGCATCACAAATGCATGTGTTCACATAAATCATTTCTTATAACTTTATTCATATCACATATTTATATAAGCTCATATCTTATTTCACATATACTTTCCATATAACTTATATATCTCATAATCACACAAATCATAACATTGATCACCAATCAAATAACATTTTACGAGTTACTTCTTACCATAGTAACTCTATCACTGGCTCATCGCAAGCCAAATGTTTATTCAATAATATAAGTACAAATTAAATTGCACTCACCTTAGCTTTACTTTGATTCGATTATAATCCTTCAATTGATTCGGAACGGGATCACGTTCTATATCTACATCATCATACATAGATCTATATTAGTATTATAACTAATATACTCTAATGATTCACTCTTTAGACTAAGAGAAAAGGCAATTTCATCTTTTAATGAAGGTATGCATCGATGCACTACTGATGCATCGGTGCATAAAATGCATTCGATGTTGTATTATTATTGGGATGCATCGATGCACGAATTGTATTCGATGTATTTATTTTAAAAGAGTGCATCGATGCACTTCCTGTGCATCGATACACCTTCAAACGATTTCTGGTTTTAACCTTGATGCATCGATGCACTATGAATGTGCATCGATGCACTCTGCCCAAAACCTCTTTTTGAACCCGAAAATTCATTCATTTTGGATTAAATCATTCATGTTTCATCCCTTTTTTCCTTCTTAACTCTAGTACACATACTTAAACCAATATATACTCATTTATTTCATCTTAAACCTTAATATTCTCTCATCTTTATTAACTTCAAGAATCATACCATATTTTTTAACATGTTTTAAATCTAATTCTAACACTCCATATTCCTTAATTAGATTGATGACAAGTCAAATTCCTTCTCAAAATTCACTTACTAACTCTTTTCCAGAATTTCCTTTAAAAACTCATTTTCTTTAATCTTTCATAACTTCTTTATCTTTTGATTTTAGAACAACTTAAGCTTTCCATAAGCTTAAGTATTACCTAATGATCAAAACCCACTCTTAAAATTAACAAATAATCAGCTAACAAGGAATCTTACCTTTGCAAGCTTGGCTCTTCTCTCTCTCGTACATGAAGAAGAAGAAGAAGAAGATGATGATGAAGAGAATATCTCTTCATCCTTATCCCCTCTAACATATATATCCTTATCATATCTATTTTTAATTCATTTATTAGTTAAATGACCATTTTGCCCTCTACTTCATTTGATAATTACTAACAACTTTTAGGATTTATTTCCAGATAAATCATTGAACTAATCAATTCTTCTACTTTAATCACCAAATTTCTGAAACTTTACCATTTAGTCACTAACCCATAGTTTGGGATGTTACAAATTCTACGTGGCACTTCAGTGCATTTATACGAGCTGTGGTGACAGCATTAGTGCACAACCTCTATAGACTCACATATACATAGTTCTCACATGTGTACATGGGCTAATAAAGAAATAACAACAAACATATATTACATGTGACTTGTATGCTTTTGTGCTATGAATTGTATCATATGATTTGAATGATGATATATATATTGCGTGGTTAAATGAGTCATGTTGGTTAAAATGTTAAGTACAAAAGGATATGACTACAAGATTTAAATAATAATCATATTTATAGTAAAGTAAGGTTAATGATGGAAAGAATGAATGATGTGTATATGTGTACATTTGATTACATGAAATGCTATATTGTTTTGTAGGATAGGATGATATGATATGTTCACGCATGATTAAGTAGTTAGATTTACTTTCATGTGTTTAATGTCTCACTAAGTCATAGACTTAGCGTGTGAGTGTTTCACACGTAGGTTCCGGAAAGCAAGAAGAGAAGTTTAGAGGAGCAAGACAGGTCAGATTCTCCTTTCCACAATTCAGATAAGAAATATGTTTAAATTATATATATTTTGTCATATGAAATGTAGTTGGTATGTAAGATAAAAGATTTGTACTGGATACGCTCTGACCAATTTGTAAAACCATACGTTTTATAAAATAGAAATTATTTGGATTTTATTGGAAATGTCTAACTGAATTTCATTAGATTTTGTCAAAATAAAAGTTTTGAATGGTCAATGTGACACATCGACTCGTATTTGGGTCGGGTACGGGTTGGGGGTGTTACACTGACGTTAATATCTATTTATAGGGATAAATATTTGATTACAAAGTAAAACTAAATAAAATAAAAATCTACTTTAATAAAGTTTTCAACTTTTAACCAAATTGGGTTTCTTATTTTCCCAATATTTATATATTAATTAATTTGTGTCACTTTGAATTCGAGTCAAACTCTAACACCATCGATGTACCACTTCCTCTGGTAAGGTCCATACTCCGGTGCTTCGACAACCTGCAAGTCTACAATTAATTCGTGAAGAGCTGCAAGTTGAGTGAGGGCAATGGCCAGTGGTGGATTTAGAAAAATTTTGAAGCTGAGCACACGTATATAAATAATATAAATTTTTTGATACGATAGAATTTCAAGGTGGACACCATAGAATTTCAGGGTGGGCGCGTGCCCACCCTGAGCTTAACGTGCGTCCACCATTGGCAACGGCGGCATCGGGAGTACACGTGAAGTGGTCGTTGTGTCGGGGTTGTCTGCTGCCTCCAGCACTTAGAGACTAGACGAACTTGACGTGAGTGCCATATTATGATGATTAGCATTATCGGCGGAGATCATAGGCTTATTAATTACCGTTCTACTACTACTCTGCACGAGATTAGCGATGGAGGAAATGACAGCGGGAAAACGGTGGTGGTAGAGTCGTATGTGGTGGACGTCCCAGTGGGGAACAACAAAGAGGATACCTGCTGTTTTGCTGATATGATCATAGGGTGTAACTTGAGGTCTTTAGCTAGACTAACAGAAAAAATGGCTAAGTTTTAGGAATTTTTCTTTGCTATTTTCAATGATTCATTTTTCTATTTTTATTCGTTTAAAAGAACGGAGGAGGACTAGAAACAAGTTTTGCCCATTACCGGAACCTTTCATAGGTTTTTATTTTTATTTTTATAATGGGCCGATATGGTTTTTTTTCACATTTGGGGTGGTGATAGGGTTATTTGCATTTGAACCTTGATTTTTCTATGTTAACATAATCAGTTTTATCACTCCGATTGTGGTTATGTAATAAATAAATTGGTACTTTCTTCCTCACCCTGAAGTTTCTGCCCTATTTATAAATGAAATTCCTCGGTTTTCGCATATGCAAGGAAAGAGAGACTTAGAACCCTGTGAAGGTCTGAATGAAGACAGGTTCTTAAGGGTGTCGAATGCTCGTATGTGAAATGGGTCTTGAAGGATGGGCTATATAATCGCTTGCTGCGACTAGTGGTACTGGGTGAAACATGAACCCTGCCTTGGACAAGCGATAAGTTAAAATGTTTCAAAGCATTTTTAATTTGGTTTAAGTGGTAACTAAATATCGTTTAAGTTAGATTTCAGGTTTGAGTTTTTGTGTATGCAGAAAATCTCTATTAAGAGACTCATCCTCCAAAATCAAGCGTGTGAATCGGGTCGGTTCAAATTAATCAGGACGAAACCAGTACAAAAAAATAGTTTTATATGTTGCTGGAAATGGAACGAAAGAACTCGCAAGAGGATTTCACCATATTTCGGGGCCATGCCATGGGGGAATATTACAAGCACAGAAAGTTTCAAATTACCCCATCATCACCACATTCGAAGCAAAATTTTTGGCTGATAAATTCTCTCCACACTTGATATTGGGCCCATGGAATCTGGATTTCTCTATCCTATACGTTCAAAGAGTACTTTATATTATAGCATTTAGATACTGTCAAGATTTGCAGACACCAATGCTTTTTAGCAGAACAGAACATTTTATCCCTGTCAAAGTCTTTAAGTACAATCCACCCTAGATGACTCGGCTCTGTCTCAGAAATGCAAATACAAAGAAAGCAAAAAGGCGCAGCAGTGCCCAACGTCCCTCTCCCTTGTTCATTTTTCTTTATCCTTACTCGTTCCATGAGTACTTGCCATCATTTTAGGACGCCCCTAAGCCCCAAACGTCAAACATTTTTCACCCACCTCTCCCTTACTCTTTTCTAGCCACGTCCTCTTTTTCTTTTTGCGTCATATAATCATCCTTCTCCTGAAAAAAAAAACCACTTGCTTCAAGCGATGTTTATGTTGATTAAAGGTTGAGCAACGGTTAAAGTTAAAAGTTCAAAATTCTTGTTTCCTTTGTCGGTTACCTTTTATTTTTTATTTTTGGTATACTATAGTGAATAGTCTTGAAATAGAACTTAGTTCTGGGTTGTGGTGTTGGTTTAGAGATGTCGATTATAAAAATGGAGGAAGGCAAATTGAATTTCAATGCACCACTTTTATCGGTGAGGCGGCTTTCTTCAACACATTGTTTTTCAGCTGGTGATAAGCAGAAGATAGTTGCGAATTCTTCTTACACAAGGGCACGCATTCTTCCTTCCAATAACTCGGATGTGAGTTTGGTTGAGGTGACAGAGCATGTTGCAGTTCCTTTTGTATGGGAGCAAATCCCTGGGAAAGCAAAAGGTGGCCCACAGCACGAGTTTCAGCCTGATAAGGAAGCTTCTTTTATTCCTGAGCCTCCGTCGGGGAGGGTTTCTCATGTCATCAAGTATCCTGTGGAGAGAGACTCTAGAAATCAATATGTGCTCAGGCCCCAACATTCTATGAATGATGATGTGTCTGGATTACAATGTTCAAACGAGGGAATGAATGAGAAATGCATATTGGAGCTGGAGGATGAGGATGATGTTTATTCTGATGCACTTGATACCTTGTCCACAGCGAAGCCATCTATGGCTCCTGACCATCCCCTAGAGGTTAGGGAAGTGGCTTCTGGGTACAGGGAACCTCTTGTTAATCAATATGAGTCGTTTATCGTTCCGCGTTCCGGTGTTCTGAGAAGAACAATACGAGGATTGTTGCCTCGATTATGCTTCATGAACTCAGTGTGCCTCTTTATTCCCATCCCGGGATTAAAAGTTAGGACTCGCTCTTCGATTTCATCTAATTGCGATGTTGCTAAACCTGGAAAAACTACCTCCATCAAGTCTGGAAACCAAATTGTTGAAAAGGTTAGTGTGGAGCGTTTCTATTTTCTTTGAACGTGTACAAGATTCTATTTCATTTCCATGCATTTACAGTTTTGTATCAATGCAGAATGGTTGGGATGTTTGTAACAACAAATCAGATAGTAGAGTTCAATCCTTCAGGCTGCCAGAGAACAAATCAGATAATGAAGCTCAAATGCGCAGGCTCCTGGAAGACAAATCAGAGAGTGAAGTTGAATCCCACAGGCTCCCTGAGATTGGTGGAAAGGTGTCATGTAGATCGAGTCGGTTTAGCAGCGCGAATGACCTGCAGATGGTAACTTGGTTGCCCCTGAAAAGGCCTACAGGCAATGCTCGCATTCCTCCTTATCGTCGAGAGAAACCTCAATCTCCGTTCAGTGGAGAGGGGTTTCTTGGAATGCCTAAACAAGCTGAGAAATTCAAAGCAAATATGTTAGTTAAGAATTCCAATAGCACTAAATACTCAAAGGAATTAGTACCATATCAGAACAATCAACAAGGTTCAGATTCTCTGAGCCTTGCAGTTGAGAAAACACTTTATGTAGATACCGTAAAAATTAGTAGTTCAATTTCCAATTCCTCAGATACCATAGTAACGAATAGAATGCTGGAAGAACCTGCTAGTGTAGGATCTTCTCTTCAAGACATACAAGGCCTCGATCTTTTAGACAGAAAGGGCATATGAGAAAATGAAATTACAGGGTCAATGAAATCCAGTCGCTCTGGCAAACCTTATCTCAGAGTTCAAGCTGATCAAGGAGAATCCAAGGGTGGTTCCGACTATGCTCCTCTACCTCCTCCATTACCGAAAACACCATCGGAGTCTTGGCTTTCTCGTGCACTGCCTGCAGTTACATCAAGAAATTCATTTTCCAAGTCTTTCAATGGCACTCGTTTTAATACTAAAAAACAGGAACCTATGATACCCGCAACTGGTACCAAATGGGAAACAATGGTCAAATCTTCTTACATGCATCATCATCATCATTATGCCCGCTATTCCGAGGTAATACTATCAATACTCATCATTCTTTAACAAGGATGTTATCGTCTTCACTAATGTGAGTTTCATTTCTTAAATACTAACACTTATGTCCTTAATAGGAACTAGTAACTCACCTTTCTCAGCAATCCAAAAGTTAATAGGGTTAAGAGGGGCATCATTCAAATACTTGCGCTCAACATTGTCAGAGCTGGTTAAGATTTTGCAGCAGCCTACCATTTTGCAGGGGGTTATTACCTCAGTTTGTTCGCTCTGTTATCGTATAAGTTTGTAAGTGGTTCGTTTATTTTCCTTAGATCAGCCATCAATGCATGCCAAGGGAATTGTTACATAAAAAGTTGATTCAAATCTTTGTAACGACCACATTTTCATCTCAAATATGAGACTGAAACAGAAGGCATGTACTCTTTTTTTATCTGCCATTGTAGTTTTTCTTTGTTCTTTTCAACCTCTCTTCTGTCTTGTAAGCCAAGTCTCTCTCTTTCTCTCTCTCTCTCTCTCTCTCTCTCTCCTATGACATAAAGTGAAGGTTTCATTTGAGAAAGAAATGTGCTTGCATAAAGTAAAGAGGGGAAATACATTGACAGCAGATGACAGATAAACAGAGGAGTGCCGTGAATTCTAAATATAATCTTGTACACTTTTGGGATACCCGATTTCTGTAAAAGCGAAACTCATAGTGTTTATTATAATTTCAATCTTTGTTATTCCAAGTTCCGTTGAAATCTTCTGGGTTCATCAAAATTTGAGCCAAAAAGCACACTCAAGTCAAGACCATTTGTTACTCATGCCTTGTTCAAGCCTGCACATGCTATCAACACAGACAAATGTTCTTTTACTGCCAATATGCACATGGTAACAACATTGTTCATGAATCTAGGCCTTTTTTTTCAGACACGCAATGTCTATATATGGTTGTCGTTATATATCATCTATTCATAAGCATTGCGAGAAAACCAGAGGAGAGGAGAATAGAATAATGTCAATAAATTAAAAATTTTGCTGTTTTAGTTTTTAGAGAGTTCTTCATTACACAACAGGGTTTTAATTATGCCTCTATTCCAATCATTAGTCCAATTACCAGTGTCAGTGTACAAGTGTTCATCGGTCAGTTATCAGCCTCCATTGGTGTTTGGTATAGAGTTTTAATCTCCGACATATTCAACGTTTCCAACAGATTACAATTGTAAATATTATCAACATCGTGTTTTAATCCTCCATTGGGGTAAAAAAAAATTTTGCCTTAAAATTGAAAACTTTCTTGTACTAAAAGTGGTTTTGAGAAGATGATGATTATTAGAAGATAGGACAGAAAAAGCAGAGTGGGCAGAGATGATCTAGTGTAAGAATGAAAGGATGGTATGTATAAAAACTGATGCGCATAATATTATGGGAAGAAATTGTATATAATATGGTGATTAGGGTCTATATAATAATCTCTCATCACACTAACTAATTAAAATTACAAAAGAAAGATGATATAAATTAAAGTGTATCAGTAATTCATATCTCAATGAAACAATACACAAGGGAGGAAGGAGTAGAATTGCCGGGATCCGGATCAGTATAACTTTGTATTAAATTCTCTGCAATCTAATCTTCCATTCAAGAATAGATCATACAAATGCATCTCAGTTATCTCAAGCTCCTCCCATTGTAGCATAATAAAAAGATACCTTTTTTATGATACAGATCCTCTAAGAGTTGAGAGAAAAGAAAAATATTGCCCAGTTCCCTTCAGCTCTCTCTTTCGGTTCTATTCCGTATCTGAAATGGCAAATGATTTATCGGCATCAGTCGGTTCCGGAGATTGCTCCGTCGTCAAATTCTGTATCCCAGGTCTCAGTTCCTTGTTGCAAAACTCCTCATAATCACCTCGGTCACCTCCTTTCTTCTTCACTTCCACAACAACCAAAGACGACGTCAACTCGAATATCTCAGCAGCAACCGCTAATGGCACCTTCGTGCCTTCTCTAGAACCCTCCAAGTTAACTCTACAATCCTTTTTCCTCACTGTAAACCTAACCAGCTTCGCTATCTCTTCCAATTTTGATAGAATTCTCGAAACTGGTGCCCCTGACACAAATCTAGATCCTTCCTCTCCTTCCTCAAACAATCCAGATAAGTTAAACCCCGGCGAAAACGATATAATATCGAACGCATTCAAACTAGCTGGCCTCGGTAATGAAGCCACTTTCTTCCCAGTTTCAAACTCAGCACTTGACTCCGAGTGTGTTGAATGGTCCGAGCTTGATCCTTCGTCGTGGTTACCGTCCTCGATACTGCAACATTTATTGTCTTCAATGTAAAATTTAACATGCTTAAAACCCTTTTTAAACCAACGGTTCTCCATGATTTCCGAGATCGTTATTCTCGTTTCCGAGCGCGTATCGAGAAGTTTTATCAGTAGCCGAATTAAAAAGGCTGAAAACCATTTGGGACACCTGAACTCACCCTTGTAAATCTTCTTATACATGGCCATAATGTTATGGTCGTAAAAAGGTAAATACCCTGCCATTAAAACAAACAAAACCACCCCGCAAGACCATATATCTACTTTCGCCGCATCGTATCCTTTCTTCTCCAGAACTTCCGGTGCTATGTATGCAGGGGTCCCGCAAAACGTATGGAACAAACCGTCTTGCCTGATCTGATCCGAAACCGCGCTCAACCCGAAATCAGAGACTTTCAAATTCCCGTTTTCGTCAAGCAGAAGATTCTCCGGCTTCAAGTCGCGGTGGTAAACGCCGCGGGCGTGGCAAAAATCAACAGCTGAGATCAATTGTTGGAAGTATTTCCTGGCGGCGTCTTCTTTTAATCGACCTTTGGTGACTTTCTGGAAGAGCTGACCACCGCGGACGTACTCCATTACGAAGTAGATCTTGGTCTTGGTGGCCATGACTTCGAAGAGTTGTACGATGTTTGGGTGGCGGACACGGCGGAGGATAGCGATTTCGCGCTTAATGTGAGCAATTAAGCCATGTTTGAGAATTTTCTCCTTGTTCAACACTTTGATGGCCACACTCTCATTGGTTTTGACGTTTCGCGCGTAGTAAACTTTTGCAAAAGTTCCATGTCCGAGTAGCTTTCCGACCTCGTAACGTCCGAGGAGAAGCGCTGTGCCACTGCTGGTGTCTTTCTTTGCGAAGACGGAGGTGGAATCCATTACCGTCTTTACTAGGGTTTGGTTTTTCTTTTCCTTGAGAAAACAAGAACAAGAACTAAATGGTTAATGATCAGCAATTTGTAGGATGGAAAATTAGAGAGTTTCCCTTCTCGTTTGATGAGAGGTGTCTACAATAATTTGAATTTTGTTTATATTATGGCGTTAGTGCGAGAATATATGCTTTTATATAGGATGGATTATACTCTCCGTTGGTTTCTTTATTCGGTCTTTTCACTCTTTCTTTATTATATTTCTGGTATTTTTATTTTCTTTTTTCCTCTACTTAATTTATTACTACATCAATAGGCTTCAACGATTCCAACCTGAAGTATTTTTGTTCCAGCTGTTTTGGCATTGGTTTTAGGATAGTAATCGACTTTTTAATCATTTGAATGATGATGATTAACACTTGGAGTTCCTTTCTTAATGCTGCTTAGGTCACGGTGGATACGTGCGCCACTGGTATGCATCCCGTGCTACCCAAATAAATTGAGCTACTACCTCCACCGTTGGATTACAAGGATTTGTTTAATCGTGAGGCTTTTAGTCTTATAGACGATTACACAAAGTGGTACAGGGTAGATTTGAGAATGATTTGAGTAGAAGACAGTCAACCTGATGATATGATGATTTAAGACCCTCAAGTTGTGAAACTGTAATTAAATAAATAATTAGTATGTGATCCTTTAAGGTAATATCTTTTTGTCTATAAATTACAATATTAAACTTATCAAAATTTAAAACTATCATATATTTTTTTATTTTTACTAAAATTTTATAAATCCATCATTTTTAAAATTTTGTATTTATTCTTATTTAATGATAGAAACATGTCGTAATAATTAGAGCTTGCAAGAACGAAATCATTCTGCTAAAGAAACATACTATAACCATTAGAGTTGCAAGAATTTTTTTAAAGAAATTCAAATTTTTGAGATTAAATCATAAGTTTAATTTAACAATATTCAAATTTTTAATATTTTAAATTTAGAGTTGAGATATAAATTTTAAAAATAAAAAGAAGTGAAACATATGGGAACTGAAGATGCGTTTTCAAGTATTTTAAAACCTCAGAATGGAGTTTAATTTTAGTCCGATCGAGTTATAATGAGGTCCTATTTATTTTTTTTTAAAAGAAATTGAGTCTAACATATAAATATATAATGTGATTTATACCTAGATTTGTTATAAATATGATTGTGCATGATGTATTCGAATTATCATCGTCCTTGTACTCTGACACACTTTAATATAATTATTTTTGAATAAATGAAATATTTGGATTTCAATAAATATTAAATGTTAGGTATACTATTTTTACTGGAATACTTTTTTTTTCGTCGAGGGAGCTTCCCTTATTAACCCGAATCATCTACATGCTTTTTTTCTTCTTTCGTAAACTTTCGATTCACTCGTCAGATATTTTTGCTCTCCTATCGTTTAAAGCAAATGAGATATTTAGAAGTGGCAAAATATCTTGATTATCATTAAGCTACGTGTTGAGTAAACCAGGTTT